AAAAAAAAATTCTGACTTAAAATCGCTGCCACAGCAAAAAAAAAAAAGAATTTTTACAATGGCAGCGATTTTTAATAATAATAATAAAAAAAATTTAACAAAATCGCTGCTGTGGCAGCGATTTTTAATAAAAAATATTTTTTTTAAATTTATTTTACAAAATCGCTGCTGTGACAGCGATTTTTAATAAAAAAAAAGAAAATTTTTTTTTAGACGAAATCGCTGCGTTAGCAGCGATTTTGCCCTTTTGGTTAGAAAAAAAAGTGATGTGCCCTTTTGGAATTTTTGACAATTTTTTTTGCCCTTTAGGCTCTGGACTCGACTTTAAACTGTCCTACTACAGATTGAAAGAGGAAAAGTTAATAAGAGATAATTATATTGGTACTTGTTTATTATATTCCAACATAGTGGCAACAGGTACAATCTACTAACCAGGATTTATTAGGATAAGATAAATCATATCTTAATCATGATCAGTTCTAATTAACTTTTTATACATCCACAGTAAAATTCTTAATAAGTGTGATTGTATTAATCACTTTTGTCATGGTAAAAGCCAAAAATTCAGGATACATCAAAAGGAGTTTACCATTTTGATAAGTTTTTTCCTTTTTTTTCTCTTTTCATTTCTCATTTGAACCGTGTTCAATAACGTCATTGGAGTCCAACTATTCCAAATTCGCGTTGCTTAGGCCCATTTGAGGAGACACGATCTATAAAAGATTTTACCATACCCAGAGCTTGAACCCGAAACATCTAGTTAGGGGAGGAATAACCCCATTCGAAAGGTTAATTGTAAATGGCTCTTAGAAATTTGAACAGTTTTAACACAGTAATATTTTTTCTTTGGCATTCAATAGGCCTATAAATTTATCATCATATTTTCACCACCACAATTAGTATAATTACTTTAAGGAAAAGATATATACCACAGTTAAAATAATCGTCATAATTGTTATTTGTTACGATAAATAGTTTAGGGTATCTATCATAATTGAAATATTTAGTGAGTAAGGTATCACAAACGAAACAATATCGAGGTAACGCTTTTGTTCTACAAAAAGAATTGTAAGCAATAAGTGAATTTAAGCATTGATTATTGTCAAATTAAAAATAAAGCAATGATTTACTGATAATATATAATAATTATAAGCAGAGTGAAAAAGGCAGTGTCGAATTTGAAAAGGGCTGCTGGTAATCAAAACCTACTTCTTCTTCTTCTCTTATTGTAATCTTAAAAGCAACATAAATGATAAATTCCATCATCAGTGGAAAGAATAGGATTCTAGCTTATATGCATTCGGCATATTTAAGAGAATATAACAATTTTACCTGGAAACACTCTTCTCCTAAGAATCACGACCTCTCTTTATTTTAATTTATTATATATCTTTCCTTAATTCTACCTATCTGTTTATGGCGATAACTTCACTCGAAAAAAAATCTAAGTACTTAATTACTAGCTACTTAAAGAAGGAAAAATATGATTACTTTATTGCGTAAAATTTACTTGTGCTCATGAGCGTTGGACACAACACAACCTTTGACGACTGCTAAATTCCAAGAGACTAAATTGGAAGTTCCTTAATTTTAGGAACATATATATATACTATACATTCAAACATGAAGAAATCACGCAAATACCTTCTACATTAAATAAAATGCCGCTTTAAAAGCTTATAAATTTAAAAGTATTACTACCTCCGTGTCATATTAAATGGACATCTTACTAAAAGTATTTGTCTCATATTATTTGATCACTTACTAAATCGGGATAGAATTAATTATTTTTCCCATTTTACCCCTACAATTTAAACAATCTTTATTCAAGAGCTAATTAATATGAACAAAGGGCAAAATAACAAAGTTGATCAACCTATTAATGATTTCTTAATAACAGTATAAAATGAAAAATGTTCATCTGATATAAAGTTGCTATTGTTATTATTTAGCTAAATTTAGAAACAAAAAGATGGTATACAATAATAGATATTTGCTTCTTCAAATTCAAGCAAAGCACAAAAAAAAAAGCTTATCGTTCAAGCTATTAGTTCTACCTTAGCCAGATGTTAATTACAATGACATGGACAAGTACATAATATAATAATATTCCTAAACTCCAAGAAAGAAATTTGAAAGTTGGATCACATAATAGAACAAGCATTGGGATTATCATCACTAAAAAGATGAGTAATCCTTTCTTCAGTAGCATTAGGTGTAATTAGTGCTTGTGGCACATTTTTAACAAAACCAGAAGGTGCCTTTTTGTCATATGCTTGAGCTACGTATGGATAAGACACCAAATTATATGGAACATATGGCCACATTTCTGCTCTTTTTCCAGTGCTTTTTATTCTATTCAACACTCTCGCTGGATCAACATAACCACTCACTATCACCCTGTGTTGTTTTCTAATCACTTCCACTGTTTTCACACCTGAAAATCACAA